CATTTGGCTGAGATCGACCACGTCCTAAATCAGCTAACAACTGCTGGTGCTAAAATCTCACTGTCAAAGTGCCAGTGGTGCAGAACCAAAGTGGACTACGTTGGCCTCTTAGTAGGTCCAGACGGAGTACAACCACAGTTGACTCGCACCCAAGGCCTAGACAACCTCAAAGTCCCAACCAATCTCAAAGAACTACAAAGTTTCTTGGGAGTGTGTAACTACTCTCGCCAGTTCATAGAGCATTATGCGGATCTCGCAAAACCACTAACTGAACTCTTAAAGAAAGACGTTCCTTTTGTCTGGACTGATACACAACAGCAGGCAATGAACGCTCTCAAAGACAGGCTCAAGCTAGCCCCATGTCTAGTCTACCCAGACTACAACAAAGAGTTCTACTTGGAAGTGGGCTTCTCAACTTACTGCATGAGTGCAGGTCTGTACCAAATACACGACAAAGACAGGCGTGTTGTGGCCTACGCCAGCAAAACAATGGCAGGCCCTGAATTACGGTATTCAGACTGTGAGAAGGCTCTATTGACCACTGTGTGGGCAGTGAAACATTTCTCCTGCTATATTGGTGGACAGAGGATAATTGTTGAGACACAACACCAGCCAGTAACGTTTCTGAACAGCCAACGCATCAGAGATGGTGTGGTGACAAACTCACGCGTTGCAACATGGCTAATGGCACTTCAAAGTTTTAACCTAGACATCCGCTACGGTCAAAATAAGAAGTCGCACTTGGGCACTGATTTGGCAATCTGCCAAGAATGTACACAGGATGTACCAGCCACCCAACAGCCGGTTGTGAGCAAACCCTCAGCTGCTGAGGACCCAAATCACCACTTCTTTGATAGCAATATCTGCAAAGATATGGCAACAATGTACGTGGATGGATGCTCATTCCACCACGAGACAATCTGCAAAGCAGGTGTTGGAGGAGTTCTCCTCCAGGACCAAGAACAGGTCACATTTGGCTATAAATTAGGCTCTCAGTCTTCTCAGTACGCTGAGATAGCTGCAATCCTAATAGGCCTACAGATGGCAGTAGAACGCTCCATCCAGACGCTAGTCATCTGCACTGACTCTAACTATGCTCGACTCAGTTTCTTGTGTCATCTCGCTCTGTGGAAACAGAACGGTTTTCTCACAAGCAACAAAAAGGTGGTAAAACACAAAGAGCTTTTCATGACATGTGATCACTTAGTGACATCACATGATCTACAGATCTTCTGGAAGAAAGTTCCAGGACACTCTAGAGTCCCAGGCGATGACAAGCACTACAATGACCTTGCAGACCTCCTAGCCAAAGAAGGAGCCGTTGACGGACCCACGTGGTCCTTTGACCCCTCCTGGCTACTCAACACTCAGTCGTCACAAGCTACAACTGAGGTAATGGCAGTCACACGTGCACAAGCTGCAGCTAAACCTGCTGATAACACAGTTTCTGTGCGCCCAATGCTGACTGACCCAGACATCATCCAACTTCAGAAGTTGGATCCTGCAATTAACTCGATGATGCTGTATCTGACTGACCCAGACAAATACACTCCATCGAAAGACGAGCTGGATTCCAATCCAGACCTCAAAGTCCTCTTTCAGCTGCGAAAACAGCTAAAACTACTTAAAGGCATCCTAACTTTCGCTCATGGACGGACGTCCTCACCTGTGTTCGTGGTCCCCCATGACCACAGGGGGGTGATGTTAGTCCATGCACATGACCTTCCGTCCGCAGGACATAAGGGTGACAATGCCACGCTGAAAGCATTAAAACAAATTGCTTATTGGCCTGGAATGAAAAAGGATGTCAAGGACTACATAAAAGGGTGCCTGATCTGTGGCCAGTTTCAACCATCCAGACCACTTCACAGAGCACCACTGCATAGTAGAGGCATTGCATTTCCATGGTCGGACCTCCAGATTGACTGGGTCGGACCACTCACTAAGACCTCTAGAGGAAATAAATATTTTCTCACGGTAACCTGCGCGTTTACCAAATGGGTAGAATGTCTACCAGCCCCTAATGACACAGCACAAACCACTGCTATGTTATTAATGAATCATGTATTTTCAAGGTTTGGACTTCCCCTTAGGGTGAACTCGGACCAAGGTACACACTTCACAGGTGAAGTAATGAAGGAACTGTGGAAGACGCTAGGCGTCAAAGCCAACTTCCATATTGGCTACCACCCACAGGCTTCAGGCCAGGTTGAGAGAGCAAATAGGACGGTGGTGAGTATTTTGAAAAAATACGTAGCCGCAAACCACAAGGACTGGGACGTGAAACTCCCTCTGGTCCTCATGGCCATAAGGGCCACTCCACACACGTCGACTGGCATCGCTCCTTTCGAGATGATGACGGGTCGACAAATGACTCTCCCTCTGCACCTGCTGTACCAACCAGGCGATGCTGCCATGGCAACAGCCTACACCACACAACAATACATGAAAGACTTGGAAAGACATCTTAAGAACACTTTTGCTTTCGCACAGAAAAACCTGGAAAAATCAGCTGAAGGACGCAAAGCGTACTACGACCAAAAGGCCTCTTACGAGGAACTCCAAGTGGGAGACAGGGTCTGGTACTACACGTTTGCACCCAAAATTGGGAGAGTAGAGTCCGGGACCGGAACTCTCGCCCGTAAGCTGATGCCCAGATGGACTGGACCCCATCTGATAACCGACAAAGTGTCTCCAATTATCTACCAGATAAAAATCAGTAAAGGCCAAAAAGAGCCAACTGTTAAATGGGTACACCGTAACCAGGTTAAACAACACAAGGCATGCAATAACTCCTTAGGAGACAAAGACATCACAAAATCTGACCTCGTGGGAACAAGGGTCATCCCTGTAGAAGATAACTAATGGATAATAAAATTAACCATGGTTTAAACTCACAGGACCTACCCTTGATAAAACGGGACAGCGTGACTGAAATCTGGCAACCAGGGTGAGGAGAGGCAATGAAACGATGTTTCTAGATGCTTAGTCACTACTCTTGTCGGTGTTGGAACGTTGTTTAGTTGATTTTGGTTGTTTCTGAGGTAAGAATGAATCTTGTGTGTAGTTAAGTTAGAGACTAAGAAACCTTTAACCATGCCAACATGCAGTTCATTCACTAAATTGCAATCCTTGCGGAGTCAATGTATATTATTGCTACCTTGAGTACCATAATCTACATTGATCTCACAACGCTTAAGCCGAACCTACTCGAACAATTCTATTCGGGGGGATAGCTAATTCTTTTTGATAAGTCTCGCCATAGACTTCCAAAACATTTATGGGAAAACCAAACACCCAATCTCAAGTCGTTCGTCTAAAAGACAACAGACAATTACACCAAACTATATTTTACCATGTAAAGCTAACTTAAACCAAGTTAGAAATGGAAAAATAGTTTGGAACACTTTTCTATAGGCATAAACCCCTGTAGTATCCCTTTTCAGCATTCTCCACCCCTTAACTGGTAGTTGTAGCTGTTCCCAACCATAATAGCTTACACACCAGGTGCATATAGTTTAAGACCTTATGTAAAATCCCCTTCATAAGCCCACCTTAAACCACATAATTGCATGACACATTGAACCAGAACGGCACAGGCTGGACGTCGCTGGAGACAACCTTCGCTGGAGGCGATCTGCGATCCTGACGTTGGTCTCAACTCTTCATCCAGTGGCCGCTTCTTCAGTTCAATCCAAGGGTACCCCTCTGTATGCTGATTAATCAACACTTCCAATCGCTGTGGATTTACCGTTGTGGATTATATGACTTTTTCAATGGATTACAGACTCTGTTTCCAAGGGGTTAAAGCATTGCTACAATGGGATTATCGAGACGATATGGGATTATAATCAACGCAATGGAACACCAAGAACATTGTGGAATTACCTTGACTTTGTTTCCTTGCTGGATTACTTCTGACTTTGGTCTTCCTTGAAGGATTACTTCTGACTTTGGTCTTCCTTGCTGGATTACATCAAGCTCAAGGACATTTGAAGGTCTAAGTTCAAGGTTGGAATTCATCCCCATGGACAGGTGATGATTTCCAAAGGGGGGACTGTAGTGAACCAGATGACCTCAAATCTACCAGATGGACAGAGACTGTTATTTTCATTGATCTAAATAAGTCTGTGCCATCTGATGACTTTCTTTCTTGAATTAATCAAGCAGAAAAGACAATTCTTTATAATCATTACTGTCTTACAAATGTTTTGATAATCAAATTGTGTTAGTTCACTCAATGCTTTACAGGTTGAAAAGAACTACTCATTTTTATTTTACATAAACAGTAAGTAATGATTTTTATTCCTCATTCCAAGAAGAAATCACCTGAATAAGCATTCCTTGATTTTCTGTCTGAAATGAGTCAAGTCGTAAGTATGTGAAAGGTTGGTTTTCGGTCAACTAAAATGTTTACCGAGAAAAATGTCATGTTTAAACTTTTTCAGAAGATTACCAAGAGTTGACTCCACGAAGTCTGCTGTTGCTGCAATAATCTTTTCTGTATGTGAAAACAAATTTCATTCTCTGACCTCGACTGTTGATAAACACCTTACGTCAAAACCACTCCTCTTTCTGGTCCTTCCACGAATCAGAAAGCTCTAAATTGAACAGGAAGTCGACCCAAATAAAATGTGGCAACTTCTCAGTTCATGGTAGATTGAGAGTGATATGGAGTTCCAAGAGTGAGAGTTCTTGGAAGATGGAGATTGAGAGTGCAGTCGGTTCTGAAAGCTTCAGAGCAATGAAGAATCCAGAGGTTTTTTGGGGATTATAATTCTGTTTTGAGCTAACCACGCACGACTCTCTGAAGGTTTGGTAGCTCTCGACGGAGACGCTGAAACGAGTCAGAAAGGAACTACTCCAAGGCTGATTCATCATCAACAGGTAGATGGTTCTATTTTGACCAAGTGTACCGTGAGAAGCTGAGATCGGACGGAGCGTGCAACTTCTGGTCAAACAGATTAAATTCCCTCACATATTTCCTCTGTAAGATAAATCTCAATTTAATCTTAAACTCTTCTCTCTCATAAATCAGTACAGATATTTTTAGAAATGTCTGAAGCAAAGTCCTCAAATCACCGCCGAGTGATTTGAAGTTCATTTTCTGTGAAACTGTCTGTTATTATTTTCATATTTTGCCAAATTAATGTAAATGTTTGATGTTAAACTTTGATTTTGAAAATAAATGATTCCATTCATTTGATGGGTCAAAGGTAATAACGTCTCTCGTTCGCATTCCTTTAAATTCAATGCACGACATTACACAGTCAGAAAAATGAAGAACTCGTGAATATTGTATGCATATATAATTCATATATTTGTCATACAACAAGTGACACGTATCTCACGTGACTCACTACAACGACATGAAGCTCGGCCAGGAAAACAGGAAATGTAATAAATGAGAGTGACGCTGCAGACTGATCCGAACACAGAACATGCAGCAGAACCTTCCTCGGACTAAAACCATCCGGCGTCCATTGCTTAACACTTCCAAACATTCAGTCATTTTTCTACATTTTATCCCTTTCATTTCTAGTTTAAATATGTGAAATACTTCATCCATCCATTATCTTTACCCGTTTATTCCATTTTGGGTCACGGGGGTCGCCGGTGCCCATTTTGAGCAATCACTGTGCGAGGGGCGGGGTACACCCTGGACAGGTCTCCAGTCCATCACAGGGACACATAGAGACAAACGAGACAAACAACCATTCACTCTCTCACTCACACCTAGGGACAATTTAGAGTTACCAATCAGCCTAACATGCATGTTTTTGGTCTGTGGGAGGAAACCGGAGCACCCAGAGAAAACCCACGCATGCACGGAGAGAACATGCAAACTCCACCCAGAAAGGCCCCTGGACCGGGGTTTGAACCAAGGACCTGCTCACTGAGAGGCAGCAGCTCTACCAGTTGCGCCACCGTGCTGCCTTTGAAATACTTCATAGTTAAGAATAATTTATTTTCTGTATAATGTACCAAACGGCCTTTGGTGGAGACAAGAGTCGTGGAAATGTCAAAGGTCAGCAATAAAATTAATTTGATTCTGTTTTTGATGCAGCTGCAGAGAAGTCCTCTGAAGAAAATTATCCCATTGACTTCTATTAAAAGATACTTTTTTTAACCTTACTGCCATATCAGGGTAAAACCATTTTGTCATTATGTGTCAAGATTTTGCCATAAAGGTGTCCAGAGGGGCATATACAAGTTTCCAGAAGGACATTTCTGGGTGTCCAGAGGGACATATACGAGTGTCCAGAGGGTCACATGAGTGTCCAGAGGAACATACATGAGTTTCCAGAGGGACATATACAAGTGTCCAGAGGGTCACATATAAGTTTCCAGAGGGACATATATGGGTGTCCAGAGAAACACAAGTTTCTAGAGGGACATACAGTATATGAGTGTCCAGGGGGTCATATATGAGTTAGGGACATATACAAGTGTCCAGAGGGACATATACAACTTTTCAGAAGAACTTATACGGGTGTCCAGAGGGACATATATGAGTGTCCAGAGGGTAATATATGGGTGACATAAGGGGACCTCTCCTATTCCTGACCTCCACTTATTATTCCACATCTTCATCACCCTCATCTTCATCACCATTGTCTACATCATTTTCATCATTTCAACCAATAATCAAACCTGTCGATCAGTTAAATTTACAAACTTCACGTTTTTCTCTTTAGATAAATAAAAGTTTTCTCAAACAAACAAATATAAAAGTTGGAAAAGTTGTCATATTTTAAAAAGAGTTTTTATTTCTCTGAACAAAATAAACATTAACAATGAAAAAATATCCGTTTGGTAGAAAAGTCGTGTTCGTTCAACAGAAACGTCTTTACATTCAGACTCTGACGAGTTTTATTCAGAGACGTTTCTGCTGACAGGAAACAGAGCGGAGCCTCCGGTGTTCGTTTTCTGAGCTTCAGCCTGATGAAGAAATGATTCACATCGTCATCTTTATGACGTGAAGAATCTAGAATAGAATCCAAAATAAAAACACCAGGCACAGAAACACGTTGAAGACAAATCCAAAACGTTACCTGTGGCTTACTGTGTTGACGGAGAATAAATTACACATTTCTCTGGATTCCTTTAAAAACTAATCTGTGAATTTTGTTCAGATTTCAAGGATCAAACAGCAGGAAGGAGTTTATGATATAAACGTGCAGAAGAAGCTTCTTTCATCGTGTTTTATAATCAAACAGAAGCTTCAGGAAGTAGTCAGACCTGCTGCACCTGTTTATGTTGCAGCCTGATGATAAAATAATTTATATTCCTGTTTCCTCATCACAACAAAAAAAACAGAATCTTATACAATTAATCAATTTATCAGAATTTTTTTTAAAAACTGGAACATCTCATTTCCATCAGAGCTTTCAGCTCAGGTTCCTCTGGTTCCTCCTGATCTCTGCTGAGATGTTCCAGCACCTGAACCTGTATCCACCTGAGGTCCATTAAAGGGATCGGACCTGACACCTGTCCAAAGAAGCCCCCTAGCTGAGAAGAAAAAACAAAGGAACTGACCACACTGTCCCAGCAGTGAAGCATGGTGGTGGCAGCATCATGACAAGGGATGATTCAGCAGCAGAGTCTGCAGAGATCAGAGACAGGATCGTTACAGGACTCGGGTCTGCAGAAACATCTCTGCTGCTCTGAAGGTTCTCCATGAGCCTCTCGTCCAACCAAGATCTGGTCTCTGAGTCACAAACAAGGAAGAAGGTCTTGGGGAGAGAGGAAACCCAGAACCTGAAGGTCTCGCTGACAGAGCTTCAGAAATCCTGCGTGGAAATAGTGCTAAGTTTCAGAACCAGACCTCCACTAAACTGGACTTCATGACAGGAGGTCTCAAGCAGGGCTTAATTTGAGCCAGATCCTGCCAAAACAGGGTCTGAGAACTCTTATATTGACAGGGTGCGTTTCGGTAACTGCTTCTGGTAACTCTCAGGCTTAATAATAAAGTTATGAACAAATGTGACTGCCTTGAACAAATAAAACAATTTGGATATATAAACTGAAAATAATTACATAAACACTAATTTTAAACACAACAGCCACTTACAAGCTTCTTAATATCACATAGCTGCCTCTTCAAGTAAGCATTTCCGCTTCTACCCTTGAAAAAATCTCCGCCCCTAAAAGTCCAAAGTCATAGAGCGATTTTATTAAAAAACTCAAAAATATAATTAAACAGCACAACGGAATTGCAAATCAGTTCAACAGTTTAAGTGGTGTCATTAATAAAATTTTGATTATTTATTAAAAATACAACGAGAAAAATGTTTGATGTGTATTATTCACATCACGTATCAAAACAACGGCACTAATTTTTCAAAATAACAGCCAGGATGCTTGACAACAGCATCTATCAGTTTACAACTTAAGCCCTGGTCTCAAGGGAAACCTCTCCTCAGATAAAAAAACACCTGAAACCTGCTTAGAGGACTCAGTTTGTGAGGGTCCTCTGATCTGATGGAACCAGGACTGAACGGATCGATTGACACTCATCAAAAACCTGTTTCACAGAGCCCCGGACTGGACCCAACATGACATGATCCCAAAGCTCACCGAGAAGCCACACAGGAGGCTCAGGGACTGACCAGAATCCTAACCTGAGTTCTACCAAACATCTCCTGAAACCTGAAAACGGCTCCAGTGATGGGTCCCATCCAACCGACTGAGCCCTGAAGATGCAGGAAACTCAAAGCTGAACCTGCTGCCACAGGTCAGGGCTAAGTGTCTGAATCCTGATGGAGCTGAGACGTTTCAGTTTTCTTCACGCTGGCAGCTTTAGGACACTTGATGGTTTATAATGAACACATTTTACCACAGAAGTCAAAGAACCACAGCAAAGGCACACAATCTGAACGTGAAGGTCAAAGGTCCACTTCATACAAACTCAAACAGGAAAAAGAGTCAAACAATGAAGAGACAGACTGTCTGACTGCTTCAGTCCCTCCGCCCTGACTGACGGCTCTAATAAGGTTTGCTGTCCATCTTTGAACGCTTCAGCTGCACCTTCAGCCTCTTCAGACCGATCTGGAACCCGTTCATGGACTGGATGGCTGCCTGGGACGACACTGGGTTGTCGTAGCTCACAAAACCTGCAGAACAAACACAACTCCGATTTTACAGCACAGTAATCGTAAAATTAATGTTTCGCTTGGCTTCAAAAACCAAATCAAACTGGATTTCTATGTCCATAAAAGAAACGGAGAAACTTTGCAACAACTTCATCCTTCCTGCCTCAGAAAACTCTTTCTACAAACATAAAAATATATGTGTTCTTTATTTAATTCAGTTTAATTCACCACGTCCTGTTTTAAACAGGTGTTGTAACCGAGGGAAAGGTAATAAACTGTTTTCTGAAACAAAACTGACCGAAACATTTGCTGAGGTTGGTCTGTTTGTCGATGAAAACTTTAGCAGAAATCACGTTTCCGAAGGGCAGAAACATCTGCAGCAGGTCCTGGTCTCCGAACTCCTGAGGCAGGTGGTAGATGAACAGGTTGGCCCCCTCTGGACCTAAGAGACAACCAGAACCGTCTTATTATTCTGATCCATTTCATCCAGTCAGTCATGAAATTTCAGCCCACATGAGACTGAATCTAGCCCACTGATGCTTTATTTATAAAGATTTTAAAAAACAGGAACAAAATACAGAATGAGTCATACAACAAGAAAAAAGTAAATAAAAAATAAAATACACTGCAAAAAACAGCACTACTTGAAATAAGTCAAATATTCCTAAATGTGACCAATTTATTTTTGTTTTGAGAAAAAATCTGCCAGTGGGGGAAGCAAAAGTTGCTAACAGACCAATATAAAATCTTTACCTAAATTGAGTATTTTGCACTCTTTAACAAGCTGACTTCAAGAATTATTTGCTTATTTTTAGGATTTTACACATTAATTTAAGTGTTATGCCCCCTGATTAAGCTGTTTTAACGATTTTTATGCTTCATTTAAGAAAAGTTGACATATAACAAGGAAATACATCCTAATGTGTAGAAAATCCAAGTTCAATTCAGAATAATAAAGTACAACTAGAAAAAGGTTTTTCTGCGAACAAACAAGTGTGTATGAAATGCAAAACAGCAACTTTTTATGAGTATCCCTAAACAGCTGAACTGTGCCTGTCAGCACAGTAACAGCACCACAAAACTAGCACTAGTACATTATACTACTACTATTATTTCTAGTAGAACTGTTTTACTGCTACTGCTACTGATAGCAGTACTGATATTAATAGTATTAAAACTAGTAATAGAATCAAACAAAACATTAAAAATATGCTGTATTAAAAGCCAGTGTGTACTGATGTGCTTTCAGATTAAACATAAAAAACTAGTTGACAGTCTGTCAGAGAGGCAACTGAAGAGCTGAGCTTTGAACATATAAGCATTTTGGTTTTAAACTCTTCATTTTCACACTACCTGTCAGACTTGAACCCAGGTTTCCCAGGTTGTAACTTTCCCACTCCAGTGTAAATGTTGCTTGTTAATGCCTAGACTGCCAATTGATGCACCGATTGCCTCTTTGATGTACAGATGGACTGTTGATGCACAGATTTCCAGTTGATGCACATATTTTCTGTTGATGTACAGATTTCCTGTTGATGCACAGATTTCCTGTTGATGTACAGACTTTCTGTTTATGCACAGATTGCCTGTTGATGAACATTCTTCCTGTTGATGCACAGATTTCCTGTTGATGCACAGATTTCCTGTTGATGCACAGACATCCTGTTGATGTACAGATTGCCTGTTGATGCACAAATTGCCTGTTGATGCACAGATTTCCTGTTGATGCACAGATTTCCTGTTGATGCACAGATTGCCTCTTTGATGTACAGATTGACTGTTGATGCACAGATGCCCTGTTGATATACAAATTGCTTGATGATGTACATAATGCCTCTTTGATTCACAAATTTCTTGCTGATGCACAGATTGCATGCTGACACACATGTTGCCTCTTTGATGCACAGATTCCCTGTTGATGCACAGATGTCTTATTGATGCACAGATTGCCTGTTGAT